CTTCGTTTATGTGTTCTTAATACCGGAAAAACAATTTTCGACACCATTGACAATTATCATAAATTATAATGAAGGATTTCTATAGCACCATATCCGGAGGCTCATGGCGCTTTTAGAACACTTTGCGGGAGACTTTAACCAGACGCACTGAGCAGTTAACGATTTTTTAAACTGACTTTAAGACCCTGAGTATTGGTTCGGTCTGGGACTTGATCCTTCGACCTGCCGCACGGCAGTCAGGTGCTCTAAGACATGAGCGGACCAGACGGAAACATTGTATCACAATACTTTTAGCTATTTTATTTGTACATGGCTATCCAAGTGTAAATCAAAAATCAAAAGATAATGTCCATTAATATTTTAAAGCAGTATTTTTAACTTATGATACATGTATCAGCTAAGATATTGACTGACTTAATACCTCATTGCTCGCAGTGAGTTCCACAGAATCCAGGCTTGCAGTCACAGTAATACGAGTTCGATTCATATTCAGGAACACAGACAGCACCGTTCATACAAGCAGCACTTTCACATGGAGACTGAGGAAAAATGGCTTCAAGTAAACCGTCCGTTATGACTTTGACAGCAAAAATAGATAAAAAAGGAGGAAAGACCCAGAAAATGGCTAAAAAATGAGATTAAAACGGAACGAACAAACCAACACAGGCAGCATTTAGCTCGTTGCGATCTGCAATTCTTACCCAAGGGCAGTAATGGTGGTAGGAAGAATTGGCGTGGAACCTTTCAGTTGATCTGTACTTGTCAGTGGCCAGTAATTCACACCGATAAAGACCTTTGAAGTCAGGATACGCTGCCATGTTGAACGTATAACACTTCGGTTTGTTAACGCAAAACAAGGCACAATGCGACCGATCTGCCACCATGGACGATGCTAGTTTCTCTTCCCATAGATATCTAAATGGATTGCGCATAAAGTTACCAAAATAAACAGAACCCGATGGAAAACGATAAAGCTGAACTTTTTCCATAGGAACTATCAACTTAAATTGGGCGGAAAGAAGGAGAACGAAAGCAAGAAATGCCATTGTATCTAAAGCAGGTGACAGATTGAATTTCGGTGAAACCCTAATGAACTGCACTTTACAAAAGGAATCTTCATGTGAAGTAGCACGTTTGCTTTGTTTTCTCGACTTGTTATTGAGTGGTGTCTTGTAACTCATGCCTAATTTATTACACCTGCCGGCGTTTTGTGCAACCTCATAAACGGCCCATTTGGGTTTCACGAGAGCATTATTGGCTCGAGACTTAAGAAAGAACACTTGTTCTAAATTCAACGTGTAAGCTTGAAGTCTCTGCCATCTTACTATCATATATCTTTTGCGTTTGGTAAGTTTACTGCGTTAAGTTCAATATCAATACGGAATCCCTTAAAATTAAATGGTACAATTGTTGCAAACAAAAATAGTTTGTTAGTTTTGATTCAGTACTTTCGCACAGGAATGCGTTTCTTTCTTTGATTCTGAAAGAATGATTCTAAATCAACGTTCAAACACAAAGAAAATATAAATATACGTACAATTGCATCAGTTCTTCTCTAACACAATAGCCTCGCCTTTGTTGTGAATCGGAATTGACGCAATGCTTTTGGCAACAAATTTTAACTTATTGGACTTTCGGGACAGGAAAAACTGCCCCGAACCGTGTTTGCTGTAATTAGAATTTTTCTGGTGAATTTCAGTTTAGTTATTATTGAATGAGAAGTCTAATTTGATATTGGAAAATTGCAGCGCTGCCTCTAAAAAATGAATGTGATATGAAATTACGCAACTTCAAATTATTTTCTGATATCATTCTATGCATTATCAACATCAAAACCCAAAAAGACCCGATCGTTATGGATATTTGAATAAGTTTTTTATTTCACAAAGGTAAATTAGATGTTATAAACGTTCTTCACCAAGCATTGTTGCAATCAATTGCTATAAATATTTTTTTGACTTTTAATCAAAACATTCACGTGCAATACTTTTTGTCGTGTTCAGATAACGTTCATTATTTCATTCATGATCTCTCCCCCTCTTGCACCTTCGCTATTTTTTAAATCATTTCACATTAGCACGCTTTAGATAATTGCTTAGTTCACAAATAAACTGATTGTCATAGAGTACAACCTGCATGGTCTTACTATAAATATTGAGGTTTGTTCAAGAATGCGGGAGAAAAAAAAATTTAATTACTTCGCAGCGGTGTATAATACATAATATATGTATGCACACTTTCTCGAGAGTTCGGTTTCACGTCAATCCTCTAGTTTTCCTTCATCTAATCACAGCACTGCCTACAAGAGCTGTACCGAAACATCCCAGACACACCGGCAACAACTAACAGCGAAGAAGACGCTTACACCGAGCACTAATAACGTAACAAAGGCCACCTTGTGAGCGATCTCCTTCTTCTATGGCCAAGTTATGAGCACTGCTTGCCATGCTGGGCAAGCAGATGTGACCAAAATCGTCCGGGATGTTTGTTGTTTTTTATTGTCCACTGCACCAGTTAATTGCATTTTAGCGAATTGCGGATGACGTACTTTTGAAGGGAACAATTTTACATCTTTAGTGTGTTGGCCTAAGAATCGCTTTTGTTGTTTATTGCTGAATCCTTGTTATTGAGAATATGGCTCTGTAATAGCCCTCAGGCCATAAAAAAACTATTGAAAAAAATAAATTCACCAACCTGATAATCTATGTCTTTCCTTACCCATTTTTAAGGTTTGGTAGAGGGTATTGGATCAAGAATATATCATGAAGAAAAAATCCCTTTGTCCTTCCACACTGAGTTTACAGAAATGTTACAGGATTTAAGTCATTTCATCTTATTCCAAACTGCGCGTAGACTTTAAGTCTACCAAAGCGATATCAATTTCATGAGCTGACCACGTCCTCATCAACTAATAATAATACTCAGTAAAATTGGACATCTCCAATTAAACTTAAAGTTGTACTTTGGAAATGTGTTTTTGCCCTCATGTATTTTCTTTGGTCAAAAATTGCTTACGCTTTGAGCGCTTTGACCACCTTTGAGAAAAGGAAAATCTAACTTGTATATCTGCACGTACACTTTTGGCTCCCAATTATAATTCAAATGTTTCATTTCCAAAAGATGTTGTTCTCGCTGAAAAGCATTTCATTTCAATTTTTTTTTGTCGTGTGTTTTTTAAGAAACTCAATTTATTTGAAACGATCGACGTAGAGCTTATCCGCCTGCATTTACTCAGAAACGAATCATTCAGATCTTAAGTAATTTCTGATAACAGAAACACATCATAAAACATAAACGTTATCAGTTTGCCTCAAGGAATGTTTTTCATTGACAGGAATTCTAAATTATTCTTGGAAAAGCAAGAGTAGCATAGATTATCAAGTTTATAACAAGGAGATTTCAAACCCTAATCTATAGTGAGTAGGCTAAGGTAGATTAACAACTTTATTCGGGGTCAGAAAAGCATAAACAGAAAAACTCATGTCCAGTTGATTTGAAAAAAGAGCGGAAAGAAAAAAACAAATTGAATTTCCCAGTGTCTGTCATGGCTCAATGGATTAGTAATAATCTTTCAACGACTAGTTTTAATCGCCAAAGGAAATTTGAATCGCTCAGACAAATACGGTGTATGCCTGAGTAGAAGTGGGCTAGGATTTTTCGACAATTTTCAGTGAGTCGGGAGGGAAGGAAAAATTTTTATTTAGAAAGGACGTCTCCAGACAGGAACAAAGTAATTATTCTGCGTTAAGATCGGAATGCATCTGGAAAATTTTCATTTCATGACTTTCAACGTGAACATGACACAACGGAAACGTGATTGCTATTCTGGTTAGTTCTCAGTCTGGTATATTATAATAGCGATTTTAAACTAACGACAAGGAAAGGAATTTTTAAGCAATATCAGTTTTAATTTTAAACACCCATTACGTAACCTTCAAGGCTGTAGGAAATGCAAAATAAGATCGCTAGTTTAGTTACCAGATTTTATCCCCAACCAAGCTTTTATGCCCAACAGATGAACCAACAGCAGTAAATTAGCCGACATTTACGGAAAGAACATCAGAACAAGTCAGAAAATTTTAGCAAGAGATATGAAAGAAACATTTTTTCGGATTTCCAGGTGCGATATACTTCAGCAGGATGTTGGGATAACACAAGAAAAAAAGCCTCAATCATGAGCTTTAAGTGAGTGAATTACAAGCTTTTCTTGTGTTCTTGCAACATTCTAAATGGGTTCAGTACGTTATTAACCCTGGATAAATGTGTTTATTACCTTTATTAAATAACTATTGATGATGTTAAGCTGAAAGAACTACGACAATGATTCATAGGCCATCTGTGATCAGGTTGGAGATTCCCAATTCATCAGTCAAAAACTTCGAGAAACCAATGAAAGCTTGTAGAATAAATTGAACGATTGACGAGAGCTTAAGCAAGGATAAAATGTAACCAAGAATCCAAACCAAAATCATATCGTCCATTTATAAATAAAAGAAAATTGCTACAAACAGAAACTCATAGGGCTGGTTATTAACACTACAACTAACCCAAACCATGGTTTGACACAAGCAGTGGGACTTAGGGATTCTCTATAAGAGGTTTGATTTATATGTCTTTCCACTATTAGTTTTGGCCCTCTTGATGCTGTTAACAAAAAAATAAATGTTCAGATAAAAAGGTTTTGCTGAATTGAAGACGACTTTGAATGCGGTTTTGCTAAACTTTAAGGCTAAACTTTGTTTGAATAACCTGCCCACAGAGGCCAGCAATAAGATAGATCTACATCTCTATCTAAATAATTTTAGGTTGGTTAAATAAATTCGTGAAACATCAAACAATGCGTCAGCTGACAGCAACTATTAAATGAACATTTTAATGAACATGAAAGAAAATTTTGTTTTTGTTATCACATATGGTGAAAAATGCAGCCTACTACCAGGTAACTGGCATCAATCCCTCAGGGACACCAGGGTGTCCAACAGGTTTTTTCAAGGCATCCAATAAAACGGCAGTCCCCTTACATGGCCAGTATAGATGAAAAAGAGGCAAAGCAATCTCCAGTAAGCAACTAAGATAGGACAGTCTATCAGTCATGTATTCTTGGGCTCAAATTTTGAACTTGCACCTAATTTTGTACCCTCCTGCGAACCCATTCCTAGATTTGTCAAGCAACACACCTCTCTCATTATTCATGGAGAGGAGTATTGTGTGAAGGCATAAGAATGGCTGCAAGGAAGACTTCCAAATTTGGTTGTTGTGAGCAAATATGTAATGATGAAATAAGATGAATTCCTGTAAAATCATTGAATATAGAATATTACAAAGCCAGATGAGGTAATGAAACTACTGTTTTCTGAACCTTTAGGTGCTCACTAGTTCCAGGTTCCCTTATTCTCTTCTTCCACCCTTCAACTTCTGATTCATAACAAGATTCGAGGGCTACTGGGGCAGAGAATGAAAACAGAGCGTGTTCACTGCAGCTTTTTGTACCTCTGCCTAAAGCTTGAATAAGTCCATTATTATGTTTCATCAACCAAGAATGGATCAAAAATGATTCTTTTACAGTCACAGTGTAACGATTGAGTGGTAGCATGCCGAGGCAATTGCAATTAACACACGTATCCTGATCGTTGCACCAGTAAATTACTGGATAACCAAGAAGAAAGCCGAAAACACAAGGAATACACCACATGCTATCGTTAATATTACAACTATTTAAATCTATAACCTCTGATTTTTTAATGGCATTGTCTCTTCGCGTTTCGTTCGAACGCTGATTTCCTAATTTCTGATCTAAAATGTTCACAATCTCAGAGAACTGTTTGTAAACGCTTTTCGAAGCATCTGATTCCAACATACGAGGCTCTGACAATGTTCCTGAAACGTCGATTAAAATAAGCTCTTCTCGCTCCACAGATGTCTTTAAATGACTCACCAAATATCTCAAGTCAGCGAAGAATGTGTCGTCGCCAATTTGAAGAACGTCCAACGCATAAGGAACAACACTGTCTAAAACCAGGGCATCGATCAAAATGCTTGCGTTCGTTGCATCAATAACCGCGTAATCGAAGAGAAGCGAGGGTTTCAGACCAAGGTAGACGTTTGCAAGGTCTAAAAGAAACGATCGGTAACACTTTTTACTCATTTTACCAACACACCGCTGGAATAACAGATTCCGTTCACAAGGAAATGACTCCGCCATGATGAACAAAAAGCCATAGGCGTTCCTCGGTATTAGTGCCCAGTTTCTTTTCTACTACTCTTGGGAGCGAGGCAATTCTAAAAAAAAAAAAAGAAAGAAAAAAGAAAAAGTCGGTTGTAGTATCATTCGTATTTTGTATGATTCATCTTGCAAATTTGCATTTTTTGAAGGTTTTTGTTCATAGTTATCACCCAGAATGGGTCTTTGAGCTCTTTTTAATGACCTCATATAGCTGTAAATAACTAAATAAATAAAACAATAAGCAATGAATAGAATGGGAACCGTATCTGAAAGCAGGAACACAATGACCTTTGTCATGTCCTCAGTTACGCTAGCGTTGCCGCATTCCTACTAGATTGTAATGCTGTATGTACATACATCCTCTTTCTTCCTTGCCCAAACCCTTATCTGGTGTGCAATATACACCCCAGTTATGATTAAGCATAAACAAAAAGACAGAAAAACAAGATTGTTTTATTTTACTTTATTTTCAACTCTGCTTTACTCAAACGACTAAATTTAAAACTACTTTTGGAAAAAGGACTTCTTTTCCAGGAACAAAAAGGGGATAAAATACACACAGTACCATAACAGGATACAAAGAAACACCAAATAAAGCAATAACAGCTACCTACATGTTTACAAGGTTAAGTATTATAGCTGAGAACACAAAAGAACAAAGGGGATTAAGTACAGTTGACCCTAAGAACTTAAATCACACTCTCAGAACAAGCTCTCACAAGTGCAACAGCTCAGGCCTGTTTTAGATGAGCCAGCATCTCTAACAACTTTGCCACTTGAGTTGCTTAGCCTATGAGAACCTCCAACTGGCTTATCAAAATGAAATTCTTGGTTGCCCCTAAAAAGGTTTGATTGTAAGATAAGGAGTCTACTATACAGACAGGGGAAGAGTCACATGATCAGTCAATTCACTTAAAATGGAACCCAGCAGTCAAACATCTCCACACGTGACAATATTTTAATGAGTAACAGAAGTGCTTCCAGGCAAATTCAACAACACAGCTGATGTGAAGTTAGCTCCCTTTTTGAGAGTCTCAACATCTCTTTACAGATTTCTAAGAACACTTTTCCCCTACGTTTTGCATGAAAGCAGTCATTTCTTATGTTTTCTAGCTGTCCACTGGCTCATGCCTGATATTTGACTGCTGTGGTCAACCAACACGTTACAGAATACAACCTAACTCCATTAGTCTTCACATTGCATAGTAATTGCAATAAATGTTCTACTAAGTGACCCTCTCTTTAAAGCCTTCAATTTACTGCTAAAAATGACTAACAAGCTGTTTATGGAAGCTGAGCAACACCTTGGTGTACAAAGAGTTTATCAATGAATCCAAGGGGAAAATCACTGTCACCTCATTCTTATGTATACCCTGCAAGTACATGCGTATGGTTATCAGTCATTCATTTACTATTATCCTCAAATGCAAAATGTTTCTGACCTGCAGAAACCTCTGGCTGACCTCTCCCACAACATCAGAACATTTCCCCTGAAAAATACCATTGGCATGTACATGCAAACGGAATTATTTGTTTGCAAATTTACAGTCAGTTCTGGTGACAGATCTATTTTGCTTTGAATTTATAGTCACATTCTTCCAACAGTAAAAACAAACAAAAAATTGTAATACACATTGCTTTATCTCCTTCAAATCTCACAAAAAATGCAGCAGTTCTGTTTTATTATTGGTTAATTGTCTTTAAAATATCAATAAATAAATTTTTAAAATTTTCTACAAGTCACACCACTGTAAGTTTTACAACAGGAACTGAGTCAAATTCAGCCATTATAAATCTTACAGCTCCAAAAAAGAAAAAATAACCTCTGTCAAATCACTACAAAGTTTGAAGTCTCTCCTTCAATCTTGTCAAACTTCTTGGCTATGCAATTTGAATTTGTTTTAAACTATTCTCCAAACTTAAGGTACCTTTTACTTTCACCAAGGAGTCAATGCTTACAATGGATTGGAAGGAGTAGTGAGGCCTACACACACAAATCAGCTCAGCCTTCTTCCACTGACTGATTCATGATGGTTGGATATGTATAATCTTCTATGAGAGAACTTAGAATACTTTGAAGGGACTAAATTTACTGAGCTGTTAACTGAACAAATAAGAAATGAAAAAACATTACAAGATTATACATTTTTTCTTCTTTTTAGGAGCGTTCACTGGTTTCTTTCCTTTCTGTAAGATAATAATAAAAAATAGAAAGTTAAGGTTATATTTACATGTATAAACAGCCTAAAACAAAGAAAATAATTTCTGAAATTAAAGTCACTTACATCCCGTCTGATTTCTCTGACTAAAGTGTAAAAGGCATCCTCGACTCCTTGTCTTGTCTTAGCTGATGTCTCTATAAATGGAATTCCATAACTTGTTGCTAAGTCGTATGCTTCTGCTGGCATTACAGTCCTTTGAAGATCACACTTGTTTCCAACCACTACAAAGAATAACATAACATGAATTAAAAATGAGTAAAATGTGAAATGGCTAATATCTCTACTTACGAGAGGAAATTACATGGGTTGACCCTTTTGCCTTCAAAGACCACAATGTACAGGGAAAAGGCAAGCACAGGTACATACATACATGTGCGTGTATCCATTCCTGTGTCAATTTTTTACCCCTATGACAAGCTGTTGTGATCCAATTCTATTGACGCGACCATGAAAGGGAACACCTCGTACCACAGTAACTGAGCAGCTCTTTCATGTGTCTCTGTTCATATACAGAGTGGATGAATGAAAAATGTACACCATGTACTTGCTTAGATTAACCTTTCATATCCTAATATCAGTATCCCTATTTTTCCCCTTCTCCACACATTTATTTGAGCAAAGATGAGGATAATTTGTTGAATGGTCACCATTTCTTAGCTTAAATGATTTGGCAGTATTATTGTGAGAGAAATTAGATGCCAGTCGCTTGGGTTTAAAAGGTTAAGCAACCAAGGAATTTTACAGTGCATGATAAACCACACCTCATATGAGATCTCTTCATTATTCAAGCATTGTGAGCTTGTTTGTTTTCTTTGCAATGTTTCTGATTGAAATGACTTCAGACAAATCATACACACAATGCAGGGCTGACTTGGAGTTATTTTTTTATTTAAAACCAAGAATTCTTTTGACTACTTACAAACCATGGGGACTTCATCTGCATCTTTCACTCTTTTAATCTGTGAAGGGAGAGAACAAATTTGAAATTAAAAAATAAATTTGGAAAGGAAAATTGAATGATGCTCTCAACAAATTCAATGTGCATCAATAAACATTGGGAATGAGTCAAAGGAAATGATCCTCACATTGATGTTTTACAATAAGTGCATTTGTGAAAAGCCTGAAAAATAAATTGAACTCAAACATAACTTGAGTGTATCACCAGTGAACAAACTGAGTGTGTAATGACTAACCAGTTTTTTTTTTACAGTGCATGTTTTACAATTTATAGTATACAGTACCTGTTGTCTAAATGCATGGATTTCTTCAAATGATCTCTTGTTATTGACTGCAAAGACGCAAAGAAATCCTTCTCCAGTTCTCATATATTGATCTCTCATTGCACTAAAAATGAGAAAAAATGTAATATGTCAAGTTAACCCTTTCATCCCTAAGAGTGACAAGGTTCTAATTTCTCTTTACAATCTATCCCTTGAATCAAATGTTAAAGTCACCATAATAAAGGAAATGATCAGCAACTAACAAAGCTCTTGATGTTTTTACAAATTCTCCTTATTAGAACCTTGGAAATGTATGGAGAACAGTATGGAGAATATGCATAATAATGTTAAGGTGTAAAGTGTATGATCCTCCCTGATGAGCTGCAGTTTTAGCCATGGCAGAAAAGAAGCCACACTTCCAACATAAAATTCTCAGTTTTATGATACCATGAACCAGTGACCAAGCAGAATAATAGGTGCAGAATTTGTAGGCCTTACCCAAAAGAGCTAGAATTTCTGAATTACTTGCACAAATACCACCCATGTACTCAAAAGTTGACAATCTAGATTCAAAACTTGATTCTCTGTCTCTTGAAAAACTTGAACACAGTTCGAAAGCTGCAGTTTTGGGGCTTGAGTTTTGAGTTTCAAGACACTCTAAGAATTCTTTGAGGATCCGGATTTGCTGTTTCAAGGAAAAGATTTGAAACATTTTTTGGAAACCCTTGAATATCAAAGAACCTTTTAAGGTAAAAAAAAAATTCAGATACATGTACATCTGTATGCCTCAATCCCTGAAAGTCACAAGATCCAAAGATTGAGAATTGAAGATCAAATTTTGAAGGACTGTATGTTATTACAGGAATGGCCTGGCTCCTGCTCAAGCTGATCAGATTGAGGTGGCTATTGCATTTGAGTAATTCTGACTTAGAGAAATAAGTTTGTCCCTGCATCTAAGAATAGTATTATATTTCATGCTAAAGCTGTCATCTTGATAATAACCTGTATTCTTCTTGTCCTGCTGTGTCTAGAATATCCTATAAAGGAATAACAGGAAATTAAAAAAAAGTTTGAAAAATGTTAAGTCTCTAGCACAAAATAGAAAGTTTCTGAGCTGTCACTTAACTCTTTACCCACCAGAATTGATTAAGATGGAATTACTCCCTAAAATACCCATATATTATCCAGCAACCAGGCAATGAGAATACCCAAACTTATCAGGTAGAGGTTTTTATCTTGATCTACAACCAAATTCTTGTAACTAAGTTGAAGGAAATGTGAAGCACCAAAAGGGGAGAATTGACAAAGAGATCTTCGAAGTTGAAAATGTAGCCAAAATAATGGCAGATAAGAAACACATATCAGTACATAATATAAGACACAAGAAAACAATCTTTTATGTTTGAATTCATGATGTACTTAAATTTGAAAAGGGAGTTAAATTGGTTATCCATTAATCTAAATAGAAGACATTTACATGTAAAATTTCACTTTGAGTTATCAAAAAGGTCTTACAATTGATCTCAGTCTTGATGCACTGAACAATAAAAGCACATTCAAACTCACCAATAAACATGTTTCCCCATCTATGACAACTTGTTTTCTGTAAGAATCCTCTGCAGCAAAGGAAATATTTATTTAGTATAAAGCTGTAGTTTATACCTATACAAGAAATGCACAAATTTAAATTTACAGCTTTAACATAAACAAGTTTCAAGGAAGTTCCCATTAAATTGAGGAAAGAATTTAACTGAGTTTGAGCCAATAAGGCTCTACTGTATAAACATGGAGCAATGTTGAGAAAACACACAAACACCTTGGGCAAGCAGATGTATATCAAAATTTTCAACACAGTCTTTACTCACCAATTGTTGGGTCGTATTCATCTACAAAGCTAAAAGTAAAAAAAAAAAAAATGTGTAAATTCACTTAACTAAAGAATAAAGCAGCTTACATCTAACTTGAAGAGGACTGATAACCGCAGGGCGTGAAATTAATTTTTTCTTTTCTAATAGCCACTTGGCTCCTAAATTCATCAAAGTGGTAGCCAATTCAAAAAAAGTTGGTTGCCATTTTGAAAGACAAACAAAACCTTTTTTTTACGCTGTCATTATTCTAGATGTTTAATGCAATGTTTAAGCTCACCTAAATCCAAGATGGCGTCTAGCTATCGATCGAGATGCATCTGCTGCGTTTTGGAAATAAACTTAACAAGGAAGTTTGCCGCGGATTTGTCTTTGCAAATCTTTTTAATTCACTATATCTCTAGGTAAGGTTATGATGAAACATTCTAGTCGCCAATTTGGCAACTAATTTTCAGGATTTGGTTGCCAAAGTGAAAAATTTAGTCACATTGGCGCCTGTATTAGGTGCAATTTCACGCCCTGGAAAAAGCATTTCGAAATGAGCTATAATGATACCGAACAAAATACATTGTGTACACTTTGCATTTACTGGTTGTTTAAGTAAGCCTCAAAATGTGATTTACAATAACTACATTTCAATAGATTGGAACAGAATTAAAACAGACAACAGGAACAAAACTGGAAAACAACAATGGAAGGTCAGACATTTCCCTTGAGAATCATTTTTGCCCTCTCAAAATTAAAATTTTAACGTCTAATTCATATCAGTGACACTTTCTGCTTTGCTGTTAAAAAAATAATAACAAAAGCCACAAGGTGAGGAGGGGTTCGAATGGTTGTATTTTTTTTGTTTACAAGCAGATGGGCCCATAATAGAGGGGGGACTTATGAACAGAAAATTATAATAGAGTGCTATTTCTGCGTTGCCCTCAAAAAATCAGAGCATGAAAAAAATATAAATTGGAAAATATTAAAATGACATTCACTGCTACTAGGTGACCTTTTAACTGCCAGAAATATTTATAAAGAAGGGCATAAATGCCAACTAATGTCCTTCATTAGTCAAAGTTCTGTTTGTAGAAAATAAACAATGAGCATATAATGTAAAACATATGCATATTCTTGCTCTACTTGTCCTATTTATTTTTGTTAATAAGTATGATGAAAAAAATTTACCTCTGTCTTAGTCTACCCCAAACTCATAACTCTATACCCCACCTTTAAATCTGTGTCCACACCCTTTTTACTCTCCCCTCCCATGGTATACAGTTAACTTTTCACATGTACATCAACAACTCCCCTACTAGAATGGAATAAAACCGAAAGGCCCAAATATGCTCATGAAATAACCATATGGATTACTCTTTAACCAAATTTACTTACGAGAGAAAGAAAGAAAGAAGCTTACTAAACTAAGTGAGAGAATTCAAAATTACCCTACTCCACGCACAGTCTTAGCGAAGAGTTCCTGTTTCAGCTAACAAGGGCGAATACAATAATCCATACGATGAAGGGGAGGTTTAAACACATGTTTGCAAAACATCAATCGTTTGATATGAAATCAAATGAAGGCTTGTGGACTTGTAGTAAATAGTACGATTTTGCAAAATGCTGTTGTTCGATCGAATTTATCGGGGAGCGTCTGATAAAGTTGAATTTACAGGTAAGTTGCCTTCAAAAGCTTGTTGTTTGTTAGAAGTAACATGTACCGACTCACGCTACAACGATTTTGAGGGAAAGAACTCAATACGACATGCACATTAAAATCGAAGTTTACAGTACTTCCAAAATCGAACGACTCGGTGAAATATTCTGAATTAAAATTCATCCCGGGGCGTAAATGAGTCCCGCTTGAATGTAACTACACTCAACCCTTGCATAATTCGCCACAACACAACTTCCAAACAGAACAACAAGTTAAACTGTGCACGAACTGGTTCTTCAATAGACAGACACTTACTGATTTTGAATGAGTTGTATAGTCAACGCACTTTTCCCAACACCGCCGGCTGCAAGAGGAACAAAAGCGCAGAATTAGGTTGGAAGGATCAAATGTTCAGCGCAATCGGTTCAAACAGACATTGAAAGATCAAACGTTCCATCGATGGAGAGCACCAGAATCTGATTACCTCCAACCACCACCAGTTTGTATTCAGTCATGGCTTACCAACACCAAACTATCCACGACTTCTGTCTCCGCTCTAATATAGTCTACTTTCCACAGCGCAAAGTGCTAATTTTTTTTCTGATCAAGGTCGAAGCCGGGTACAGATATCGCGCATGGAAAGTGAGTCACAGGCCGTTTATATAGCCAAGCTAAATTTATCAACCAATCAGCATCTCGATATGTTCTATCTGACCAATCAAGGCTTTTGTATCCTCAGTGGCTAAGTTCCTCTTATATAAGAACCACCCAATTTTCCTATTGAGAATTAGTCAGCAAACTAAGGGCGATTTTTAAGAGGATTTTTTTTAAACTTTATGAACATCTCTGACTCTTCCCTTGAAAGAAGCAAAAAGGTGAAACATTTGCGATAAACTGATCTTGGTTTGAATCCTGATTTGAACTCATCGAGCATGTGTTTGAAAAACAAACCTGTGATTGGTAAACTTTTATTTTTTATTTATTAATTATTATTATTTTTTTGCGAAGCGACTGTATTAAACAGAAACCTTGTATCTAGCGCACATCATACCGAATTCATCGTAAAATGACCTGTATTCAGAGGAAAAGCAAACGTAGACTCTAGAATTGAGCTCTTCGTGACCATATACCTATACTCAGCGGACTTTTCAAGGGGCTTTGTTATACGTCGTGTGCCTCACTCCCGGAGTTCTGTGCGGCGTACAAATATCTATTTTTCCGCTGATTTTCGGTAAGGATTGTGCCGAAGAGGAGGAATACTCGTGGTCTGTTGCTAATGGTGACGTCATCTATGCGTCTGTCCTCCATTAGACTGATAAGAACCAATCAAAATTCATGTATAATTTAGCTTATCGTATAAATAATGCCTTCTGCGGTTTTAAATTGATGATCGTTCCAGTCATTTTCATGACCATAATGGCGTAAGGAGAAATTTAAGATTATTACAGGTTAAGGGTTAAGCAGACACTGGCAAAGGACCCGTTCTTTTCATTAAAAGAGAAGTATGCCCCAGAAAGCATGATTTTTTTTTCTTATCTCCGCCCTCTGATAAATACATATAAACAGATAAACTATGTACTACAAGCTTCCTTTTGTTGATTCCATAACTCACCTGATGAAAAATTTCCACGTTTTATCCGAGTCAAAACAGAAAAAAAATAATCGCATACGCAAGTATTAAAGTAAGCAAGCGTAGCGATGTATGCGCACATTTCGCACCTTTGATTGTAGACCACGTGAATTCCAACAATTTTTGTTCTCAAACCATGCGCAGCTCAGCCGAATTTCCAACGGTGATTGTTTACTTTGTGACATTGAAAAGAAATGGATTTACTGAGTATCCTTCATGTCACGATTACATTCAGAGGCACTGTCCGAATGTGTGGTTGATGAAGACAGCGGAAAAACATAGATGAGTCTTACGAGTTTTATCAGACCTTTTATATTATAAAACTCCCGCGGAACTGATCCCAAATCTGATCCTCGATTCACTTATACAGATATCAGGGTCTCACATTCGGTACTGAATTAAGTTTTGCTGGTGTTATTCGTCTGTTGTAATGGATAACTCCAGGGGAGAAAGACTCCATTCCGAGTTCCACAGTTCTGCAAAATATCTAGACTTCCAGGCTACAACCGTGATGATAAGAGTAACTTTGCTTTATAGACGTGGTAGTATAATATATATATATATATATATATATATATATATAAATATATATATATATATAATGAAAGGCAACAAGGAAATGTAGTCGCGTCCTTTTTTCCTCTCATAATATTTATTCTGCTCTGCTTCAACGTATTGAGCACTGTTCCACGCGAAAATCGACTTGCAGACTTCCTATATATATATATATATAAATCTGAAGGTTGAACCAATCAATACGACATAACTTTTCTGTGACTCTGAGTTTCACGCTTACGCGATCATCAGACCTAATGATCAGATCATCAGGTCTGATGATCGCGGTGGACTGCCCTTGCATTTACGTTTTGGGCCTGGGACTCACAAACAATCAGGGTCCACAATGAGGATTCGAATCTCGAGCATTCAGCCTAATTAAAAGCGATAGCAGCTTGGTGGAGAGTTTCGCGTCCCGAGGAAAGGTGCATTTATTCTAAAATATAAAAGAGTGCCAGATACTAACATAAAAACCTTTTGCAAGCAAATCCTTAAAGCACGTAAGATACAGACGTAACGATCCAATGAAAGAGAATCCTAGAAGTGCGCTAGATACTGACGTTAAAATCGAACGAAGGATAGTTCTAAAAGTGCGCAAGATACTAAAGTAACAATCTAATGAAAGAGAATCCTTAAAATGCGCGAGATACTTGCGTAACAATCTAATGAAAGAGAATCCTTAAAATGCGCGAGATACTTGCGTAACAATCTAATGAAAGAGAATCCTTAAAATGCGCGAGATACTTGCGTAACAATCTAACGAAAGATAATTCTAAAAGAACACGAGATACTAACGTAATAATCCTATGTAAGATAATTCTTAAAGTGCGCGAGATACTGACGTAACAATCCAATGTAAGATAATTCTAAAAGTGTACGAGATACTAACGTAACAATCCAATAAAAGATAATCCCAAAGTGCGCGAGATACTAACGTAACAATCTAATGAAAGAGAATCCTCAAAGTGCGCGAGATACTTGCGTAACAATTCAATGAAAGATAATTCTACAAGTACGTGAGATACTGACGTAACACTTCAATGAAAGAGAATCCTTAAAGTGCGTGAGATACTGACGTAACAATCCAATTTAAGATAATTCTAAAAGTGGTTGTATCTTGACACGTGACGACTAGGAACCCTTTCTTACGCGGCAGCTCCGCATTTAGATAGGTATTTTCCATGAGGTGGAAAACGGTTTTGTAGTCGATAATTTTATTCATTATAGGACTTCTAAATAGGAATCAAGCTGTGCAACATTTGATAAACCTGCAAAACCTACAAGTGACTAATAAGGCCGGGAAAGACAAAGTTATCAACTCGAGTGTTTTGCATCAGTTTAATATTTCATAATATTTACTTGTCTTCACGTTAGTCATGATTAAACAACAAGACAAAAAACAAAAAATGCGAAAAAAAGGAGAAAAAGAAAAAGTGATGATAAGGCAGATTTCAGCAAGGCGATCACTCATTGGTTTACAATACAAAAGACAGCACGCAGTATCCCAAAGTACACTGCGAAAACCCCAGGTGACATGCGCTGGCCTGCAGCAACTGGGATTGGTGGACAGTCGGACTTCTCGGTTGGAAGAGGCTCAGCGATTTTTGGTATCGGCACCGTGAAGTTTGGATTCATTGTGTCCTGAGGAAAACAAATATAGTGCAAGTCAATTCAGAAGAAAGTATAAAAATGAAAATTGAACTTCGAGACGACTGTGGTTGTGCATAAGTATCGAGTTTCCACAACTCGGCAGTGAAATTATCTCTGGAATATTCTCCATTTTAAATTTTGTTTTCGCATCTGTACTCAAAATGTTGCCCAGAAAAATGGCCTTGTCAAGGAATAAGGCGTTCGCTTTATACATCTGTAGATAAAACATGGTCAGAAATCCCCTTCTGGAGTCACTTCCATTAGAAAATTTCGTCATGGCCAAGTTTGCCTCACTCATTAACTTACAGGTAAGGTTTGGAGAGTCGGATGTTGAAGAAACGTGGATACTTACAGCAACAGAGGAAAATTTACGAATACCACAACGAGGAAATACTCTCTGAACTTCTTCGTTGTACTCTCTGAAGTCAGCCACCATTTCATCAGTCCAGTCCAATGACGTTTTGGTCATAGGATTACGGTATGGAGAGGTTAAGCTAGCATCTTTCCTGGAGTCAAGGCCAAATCAAACAAACAAATAATCAAGCATATCGCCATGCTCGTGAAAGTTTTTTTTTTTTAACAAAATATTTATTTGCTCGCTAGCGAATTCCACACAGGTTACTTTAACATACTGAATTTTTTTCCAGGCCTTATTTTCGCTACTGCTCAAGTAGTGTTTATTACTGCGAAGATCGCTTTCATATTCACGTCTTTATCCGCAGTTCACATATATGATTTTCATGTATTCACAGCCATTGATATTTTAACATTTGCAAATCAAACATCATGCACGAGGCGTGTATATCACAAATGAACCTATTGTTTAAGCTTACGGCTTCGATTTCTGTTGAGCTTTCAATAGTTGAATTATGACAAAATACAAAATACTAAACAAGTTGGTCCAATAGTTATCGATTGATGGAACAAGTCTGCAGGTTGATCTTCTCGGAATCAGGTGGCATGACATGTTAAAAACGTACATTGCACCTTGTTTAGTCAAGGGAACAAACCATAATTTTCTGGCTCATTTTTAAAGAACACGAGGAAATGCAGTTTTTTTCAAAACACAGTTGGCTGTCAGCCCACAGAACATCTGAGAAGCCTGGGAGGAGGGGGGGGGGGGTTGTAGGGAAGGGAACCGTCCAACTAATACAACAACCTTGAAATGTCTAATACGAATTTAAACGAGACTCACAAGTATTTTTTGATGAACTTGTATGGAGGACCATATGCAGTACTTTGACACAATTTGATCTTGGGTACACGTGGATAATAGAACAAGAAGTCCAAGCACATTTCTTCTCTCGAAGCAATGCCTCCCTAAATATGGATAGGTGTAGGGAAAGAAACAGTGCAATCAATGTAGCCTGCATTAATTCCTAAGTTATTGAGGACGATTGGAAGGGTGGATAAGTGAAAATTAGCGGTCCTCAGGGAAACAATTTTTTGCGTGTTTTCCTAGGGTGCTCCAAGGTCTTTTACCAGGACTGTAACACATTGGTTCGCGTCCTGTTTAAAATAATGAAACTATGAAGCAAGATCATCACCTTTTTAGAAAACGGATCGTTATAATTGTTACCTTCGTTAGCTGATCCCTGTCCATAGAATTGTATTTACAGTAGTGAATCATTTCGTCTCCCTTAAAGGAAAAAATAAGGCAAAACAAGAGCATCGGTTATGTCAAGCACTGATTTGCAGCATGCAATGACTTACATATGATAATATTGGTAAAATTATTTCGAAAATGTAGTTCATCGGTTATGTAGTATTTTACATGTATACTCACCG